CGATAGGTTGCTAGTAAAAAGAATAAAAAATTAACTTTAAAAGAAGCAACAATCAAACAGCTACCCCACCAAAAATGAATCATTAGGTTTTCGTTGCTTTCTATACATTGGGGAACTATCAGAAAAAGTAGGTGAAATTATTAAACAAGAAAGTTGAGTAGCTTTTAGATGTGTGTTTTCACTTAGAAACACCCTCACAAAACCTAAAGACAAGGTTGACAACTTGTCAAAAAGCGGGTTTTACAAACTTGTGTGTACAAAATATACAAACGTGTAATGACTGCGATATTAAATATATAGACGAAAGCTGGAGAGAAATTAAAACGAGAGTTCAACTACATTTGCCTAAATCGATCAAATTGTCTAAATTTAACGACCCTCTAAATTAAACAAAATACTAATACAAAATTCAACAGTGTTACCCAGTTTCAACAAATGGAGGGAACAAGATTGGTTTGAAAAATTTGAAATAAAAAATTTACAATTAAACATGGAGGTAAATGCATAAATAATACAACAGATTATTATTGGAAATATGTGGCATACAAATTAATCACTAATTTACAGTATTTATTTGGATAATATTATTTATTTTTGTATAGAATCCTTTCAGTCAGATATGGAAGTCAGTGTTTTTGTCTGCAGTGACTATGGATTGAATCTGTGTCAACTGAGCTTGTTGTTCAAGCTGAGGGAGGAATTACTATTTCTCAATTATTGGCCCTGGTTCAGGAAGGATACTCCTAGGGAAAGATATTCTATGTGCTATTTGAATTTCAGGGAGGATCTTTATAATTTCCTTTATGAATGCCTTGATCTGGTGCATTTCGCCAGCTCTACATGGGAAGTAGCTCTCTCGATGGTTCAGCAATTGTCAGAGATTTGACAAGCCCTCGGTTCTGTAAACCTATTTATTAACTGTTTTTGCCCGAAAAGCCTAGGAATACAGTACAACTTAATAAAAGAATTTTATTATTAATTTTGTTCCTCGTTGTTAAATTAGTATATTAATTTTTTTTTTAAATACATTCATATCCATAAATACATCCATACTTCCATTTGGTCGGTGGCGTACTTGATATTCCTCCACCGACCTATATTCAAACTAATCTAGATTGAGGTCGATGGAGTACTTTTATAAATATTCCGCCATCGATCCCGAACACACAATCATACGCTCTCAACGTTCGAAGGGCGATGATGACGTTATATTTCAGCCTCACCCCGCGCCATTCACGCTAATAAATACATGCACTCAGACAAAACATATAGACACACAACACATAAGACATACTATATACAATAAAAAAAACCCAATTTCCCCTAAAAAGCGGAACAGGGGACTCTGAAACTCGCTGCAGTGCTCGAGTACCATCTTCAGATTGGATGGCATGCCTACACGCTCCTTGTAGAGAGCCAAGGTATGGCATGTTTCCAATATGTGGGACACATCGAGCAACCTTTCTCTGCATAAGGGGCACCTGCGCGGGCTTTGGCCCAATAGCAGGTGCCTGTGTCAACCGTGTATGGCCTATTCTTAATCGCGTAAGGATGATTCCTTGTTTCCGGCTCAGGTTCTCGGGGGGGGGGGGCATCTACGAATCGTGCTCTTGATGCGCAAAGGCCTCTCGGACGACCCGGCCCACTGACGCTGCCATCTTTCTTTTATCATGTTCTTTACTTTTAGCTTGGCGTCAGAGGGCCTGGTCGCGATGGGCTGGTCTGGAGGGTAGGACGTCCCGGCCTTTGCCGCCTCTTCCGCACGTTCATTACCCTCCAGCCCGACGTGTCCGGGGATCCAGACAACAACCACCGTTTTTCCGAAGCGCTTCGACTCGGCGAATTTTTCCATCAACAGCACGACGAGAGGGTCCACAGAGAACCTGTCTCGCAGGGCCCAAACAGCGCTCAGAGAGTCTGTGCATACGAGGAGGGCAGAGCCTTCCTCGGTCCGCACCGCCTCGAGAGCGTGCCAGATCGCATACAGTTCTGCCGTGTATACGCTTCAATGGGGTGGGGGGGGCAGCGACCAGAAGGTGGCCACTCCTTTACTATACACGGCAGAGGCCACACCATCGACTAGACCAAAACCGGCGTACTTGTTCCTAAGTTCAAGGAACTTAGTCTTATAGAGATGTGGCGGTGTACACGACTTGTTATTTCCTATTCTAAGATAAACTTTGTACTACTGGGTGGAAAATAAACAGTTTTTAGTTAGGATTATTATGTTGACTTATGTATTTTTTATGTTAATTAAAATCATCTTTAATATCACCACCGTAAAGTTACTTAAATTATAATATTATCGAAAGAATTCCCAACGACGTCAGACGACTTTTTGCCAAGCTTAGAATTTATTGCAAATATATTGTATACTTACGTTTGTTACGTTTGTATAATAATAAATGTATTCTTCTTCTTCTATTTAGTTGTTTTGTAATTCACGTTTTTCGCACGTTCAAAATTGAGCGGTATTAAAACCAGATTCTCATTGGAACGTCGCGTTGGGGGAGTGATCGGCGATTACGGATCTTACAATTCATGTCGAGATGCGTGTGTGTAACTCCTTCAAACTCAGGATGAGCGTTTAATATTTGAAATCCGGATCATTGTATACAAAAATCTGTGAGCAGAACCATCATTACAAAACGTTAATCCACATACTCACCCCACCTTCATCATTTCTACAAATTCAATTGTTACGTGCCAAGCTTTCGACTTATTTTAAAGTCATCATAAAGACTAAACGATATTAAACATGTCTAAAAATTGACATAAGTACATGTTTGGAATTATCAATCTTCTTTTTTCAATGTCCAAAATCCTTTCAAGAAAGGACAGAAACGTTAAATATCAACCTTTACAATTTTACACTTCCCCAATTTTTCAAGGCCATTTATTTGTCCAAAGATATGCAAAAAATTTCTATTTTCCGGTACCATTTTATCAAAATCTCATTAATTTATAATAAACAGTTTTAATTTTATTTTATTTAATTACTACGAATTCTTAGCTAGAGGTTATTAAATAATAAAGAATTGATCTGTTTATAATATCTAAAATTTATGCCCGTTTACACCAGTTTTCATATATAATTTATCGCACTGCAACACGGTGTTTTGTGAAAATGTGGCTCACTACGACTGTTTTCATCTTATTGCTCTATATATTATTAAAAGAATGTGAGTAACTGTTTTAAAGAAAACTGTACGAAAGTACAAATTTCAGGAAAAGCGATTTCCTATTCAGCTCGATTTTTTATGTTATTTAGTATATGATGTTGAGAGTTCATCCAGACAAGATACATCAGAACTCGCCATGATTATGAAATTTAACAGAATGTTTTTGTATTATTCACGGTCTAAATAATCTTCGGACCACTTCTAAATGTCGTTATGTCAAAGACCTATGTTTGATTGTGTACAAAAATTTTGTAGTTTAATTTTGAAATATAAAACAAATTAATTTTGTGTTCCAAAAAACGCAACCCACTTGATTTTTAACACGCATTAAATTATTTAAATCAATTGTAAAACTCGGAATCGCACTGAGCAAGATTCATTGTGTGCAAAGAAGGTTGTTATTTAACACAAACGTAAAAAAAATGTAATTTCGATATACATCGATACTTCCTTAAAGCGACCAAGCAACAAAGTCGTTTTACGGTACGAACATTTTCTAGACAATATTTCACCATTTATAAACGAATTGAAACGCAGTGGCAATCAGGGCAATTTATTTAAGAACGGTTGGGCTCAAGTAATAACAATCTAACGTAAAAGAAATATTAATTAAATTCACTAATTTCGTGGTCCGCTTGACCAATTATTGAAAAATGGCGAAAAAGGAGGGAAAACTCATAAGGTGGGGTTGAGAAGTTGATGTCCGAGTAGATCGAGGTCACGGTAGCTCAGGTGGTAGAGCAGCGGCGTATCTAGCTGAAGATCGTGGGTTCGAATCCCGCTCGTGCCATTAACTTTTTTTCATCTCAACTAAAAACCTTAATTAATTGTAAGAAATATTAATATTGGAATAAGAATTTAAACATTTCAAGCACGTTTTGACCACCTAGTAAGACGAGTTTGGCATTTTGTCATCTTCTGATCTTTTCTGTCTTTCTGTTCTTTTTTTTGTTTATTTAATGTAAAATTCACTTTTAGCGATGCACTTCATCTCAACTAGCGAGTAGCTTTCTAATTACTGAGTACTAAATTCCTCTCTCTCTCTCTTTCTCTCTCTCTTTCTCTCTCTCTCTCTCACACACACTCTCTCTCTCTCTCTCTCTCTCTCTCTCTCTCTCTCCCACTCACTCTCCCTCACTCTTTTTTTTCTGATAGTGTAATGAGTTAGCGTAATAAAAACGTTTCATACGACAAGGAACCCAACAAATACTGTTCGCAGTTAACAAGGCATTTATAACAGGAAGAACGTTTGCTATTTTATTGAATCTGGTGAGAACTAAGGTGAGTTCCTGTCTTCGTGGTCAGACATACCAACCTTCCAGTCAAGGGATGCTGGAGGTGCCTTATTAAAGTTCCTCCCTCTGTCCCATAACTGTCCATTGTACACAATGTTCTTTCATTTTCTAAGTAAAGCTTGTAAAAAAATTAATATATATCCTAGTATGTGTATGTCTTATTTTTTAATATGTTAAATGTATGTGTATATATTTTTAATATATTTTAATAAACAATTAATTAATGCATTTTGAGTTGTTACTAATTATCAACTGAATGAAGTTGTTTTTTCGTTTATTCTAATTCAGTCTATTTATTCATTGCGTAATTAATTATTGTTCATTGTAGAAGATATTGCCCAAATGTAAATGTAATTTAACGAATTGTTACATAAACATTTTATTTCAAACTGTTATTTTGTGTTTACTGGCTAATCGTTATTTGTATGTATTATTTGTGAGACCACAAATATCGCTAGTCTTTAAGATCAAGTAATTGATTGAGTCAAATTGTCATTGAGAACATTCACGTAAGTTGTTCTACTTAGGGTAAAATGATATAATCTATCTTAATTTTACGAGTTTCTACTTTTGCAACTAACAGTTCAAAATCCCAGCCTAAATTAATCAATTCGTATTTACATAAATTGTTAGTTAGTCGATATTATTTAAATAAATCGTTAATAATAACACTGAACACATTGAATATATTTTTTAGCGTACCAACAACTCTCAGATGAATAAAAATGCTCGATGGAGGATGCGAAGTAACCTGGCATTCGTACAAGCCGGCATCCCTAAGTTCGACGAACTTAATCTGTAGAGACCAATCCTGAAAATAAAATACAGACATAGTGGTTAAAAAGAATGCAATATATAGAATTGAAAGTAAAAATTCTGAGAAATTCGTACGCAAAGAAATAAATGGATATGTGTTGGCTGAAAGTGAGCTGGCTCAGATTGAAGTGTGGGCTTAATAGGAACGGAGTCACCCACAATCAAAGGGCCATTCCACTCCGCTTTTCTGGGTTAATACCTACTCGCTCGATTATCCCTCGTCACGAATTGATACTGCTTCAAATCTTTTCAAGGGAAGGTCAAAGCCAACACTGTAATGACTTTCGCCCTAGGTGTTTAAAATGGTAATGGGTTTTTCGTACTTGGGCGTTCCGATCATTCGGCAGAACACTTCTAAGATTCCATTCAACTCAAAATAAATAGAGTAAATATATACAGTGTTTTCACAACACAAAATACTAAGTGTTACCGCAAATGTATATTGTATCGAAAAAGTATTTTATTTAAACCATTGTAAACCTTTCCTTACAGTTAAATACGTCGTATTGCAATTGTAAAAGAAAAAAATACACGATGAAAATGTATAAAACTAGTAAAAAAGGCAATTTTCTTACATCTGAGTTGAATGGGTGGGCAGAGTGAAATCTATCATCTCCGGCGTAAGGGGCCAATCCGACTGTAAGGAGATGGTAATCTTTCCTTCTTACCCATGAAACCTACAAAAAGACAAAGGTTGTAAAAAAAAGACAATGTAAATTAACTACAAATTATAATAAATAACTACAAAAAGACAATGTAATTAAAACAAAGCAATAGAATTAGAAAATAATAAATGTAACATCCTATAAAATTTACGAATTAGACACATTGGATCCGATTTAACTGATTTAAAATTAATCAAATATAATAAAAGAAAAATAGACAAATGAATGGGTTCAAAAAGATCGCCATAGGCCTTCCAAACTGTCGCAGCTTAAGGAATACGACGGTCCCCGATCAGCGGATAACTTGATAAAAATGGAAAAGTATGCAGACAAGCGAAGTACATGGGCACTTGTTATACAATCCGTGTGTTTTTCTATGAAGAAGCAACTACTTGGTTATGCGTGTGTGTGAGTGTACCTTGGTTATTTACTGGTAGGGTTAAAGACAACATTATTTTGTGATAGTTTGTTGTCATTATCATCATGGATGTTTTGGAATCAGAACCCATATTCAGGTAAAATTTTCTAAAAACAATTATGATTTAGCATACAAATCTGTAACATTTAAAATAACTTATAGAAAAATCTATTATATTTTTTCTAATAACATATTTATTTCCATTTTGTATAAAATAATACATTTTGTAATTTTATGAATTTTATCAAACGTATTATGTTTTGAGGAGGGATAGCAACTATTGTTGTTCTTCCAACTTTACATAAGGACTAGTTCTTGGCGAGGAGGTCCCGGGGCCATGTCCGCTTCAATCTACTTCCTGGGTTATAGGGACCATCCCATGATAAGGACCGTCACAATTTGAAATTGCCACACTGCAGTTTGGATTGGCGATACTGTACATGTGGGGCGATAAAGCTCTAACAAAGAAGTGGCCGGGTATAGGCCGTGCGTAAGTAAACATTGGGAACAGAGGTGATCTGCTCGCTGGTGAAAACGCTCCCATCCGTGTTGCCTGTAAAATAGAAATTGAAAAAGCAAAACAAAAAAACGATCCAGACTCCGTGACTAAGGCACTCTCCTTAATCTAGGCTGTCTATAAATATGAGTTTGTAAAGAAAAAAAATTTATTTCAAAAATGTTTAATTTCATTTTTATATAAATATCATTAATATCATTTTATTATTATAAGGAATACACTTTGTTTTAAAAGTAAGTCATTATTATAGTTTGTTTAAAGTTCAATTATCTTATTTGCAAATTATTTGTTCATTCATAATAAATTGTTTAAAATAAATTCAATTCTATCAAATAATTCCGTTTTACCTTTATTTTATTTAATCACGGTGATTCCCGCGCAGACATAACATACGGATGGATTATGATAGACATGGATTGAGCCAGTGGATTGGAGTGAGTGGAGAGTTCATCGTAGAACTTAAAAAAATTGATGGGGATTAATTTATTTACAAAAAGAACTTTGGGGTCGTTGTGGCGGCTTGTTCTGGTAATTACAAGGACTTTCAGAAAGGTCTGAATTCGTTGGACATTTAGTTTAGCGGTGCCCTCTCATTCTAGCCCTATATCCAAATTGATTGGAGTAGCGTTTTGTACAAAGTAAGTTTGTTTTTGGCGACAATGTAGATTTACCTCCAAGTAGTTTATAGGGAAGTCCGAAGCGTCTTTTTAAGTTCCTGTCTTTTAGTTTGTATGTGTCATTTTCAGGTGAAGCATTTGTCAAGATACAACCCAAGGTAGCGTGCGCAGGTAACCTTAAAGGTCGACGACGACAAACTGAAAGTTGAAATCGAAGATAATCAACGGAATGCAACGGATTCGTAATCGATATTGAGCCGTTTACCGTATATGATGACTAACATAAACATGAATTTTTAATAACGTGGAGAAAATCGTTTTAGTGAGGGCAGTTCCATTCTACTTTCCTAAACAATTAAATTGGCTTTTAGGTAAAAAAATCGAAATCGAGAGGCTCGGCTGATTTTAATTTAAACAAATATCAGTTTGTTTTTGACAGTGAGATATACAAAATTGAAATGAAAATTAAAGTTGTGTTGTTAGTTAATTATAAATTATGCAAGATTAAATTAAAAACAACGTCTTCTTATTTAAATAAGAAATCAGGTATCAAATTGTTTTAATTTAGCTGTACCCATCTTTCAAATTTCAGGCTTCTTCAGGTGTAACTCAAGACTCATCTTGATCCTCTTTTATTTCTGGTCATTATTATCGAAATGTAAACCACTTTTTATTCACTAAATTTCGCTGATGAACTTAAACTATTTAAAGCCATTAACTCAAGAACTGATCAAGTCATACTTCCGTGCAAACTTACTTTTCTTCACATATAGTGCTCTTTGAATGATCTTTCGCTTACTATCTCTAAGTATTTATTTTGTTAAATTCCTTTTCTAGAATTATCAGATCTACTGACTTCAGCTAAACTTACTCTGCTCTATTAATAATGAAATGTTTTACTAAATTGATAAAACTAAAGTTCTAGAAATTCACTTAGAATCAATTATCACTCAGATACCTTGCATTGAAAATTTGCCGTAAAGCTCTTAAAACACATTTTTAATTCACTATTCAAACTCGTTTAAAACTAAATTCACTAATTTCGTGGTCCGCTTGACCAATAAATACATTAAATTAATTAAGGTTTTTAGTTGAGATGAAAAAAAGTTAATGGCACGAGCGGGATTCGAACCCACGATCTTCGGCTAGATACGCCGCTGCTCTTCCACTTGAGCTATCGTGACCTCGATCCACTCGGACATCAACTTCCTATCTCAACCCCACTTTATGAGTTTTCCCTCCTTTTTGCCATTTTTCAGGCGGCGTATCTAGCCGAAGATCGTGGGTTCGAATCCCGCTCGTGCCGTTAACTTTTTTTTCATCTCAACAAAAAACCTTAATTAATTGTAATGTATTAATTGGTCAAGCGGACCACGAAATTAGTGATTTTAATGATTAAAATGAAGTACACTTCACTAAAGCTCTCCGTGGCCATTTCATTTGTCGTCGAGAATCCAATCCGATTACACGGCATTTGAAACATGGCAAAAAGGAGGGAAAAATCATAAGGTGGGGTTGAGATAGGAAGTTGATGTCCGAGTGGATCGAGGTCACGATAGCTCAAGTGGTAGAGCAGCGGCGTATCTAGCCGAAGATCGTGGGTTCGAATCCCGCTCGTGCCATTAACTTTCTTTCAACTCAACTAAAAACCTTAATTACTCGTTTAAAACTATAAGTTATATTGACTCTACTCTTTCCCTATTTCGTTCTACCATTACTTCAATTTTCTTTTATTACCTGGTCTCTTAACTACTTTAAACCCCCTCAAATCAACAGTATCGAAACGGTTGAACTTAGTTATTGTAACTGGTTTTTGGAACCACAGTTGTGATTGCAACCATGATCTCATATTGTCTGTTCTTAACTTTGATATTCAAGAGAATTCTTCTTTCTCAACATATTCAGCCTACAATTGTATTATTTCTTTTCCGAAGGCGCGAACGTTGAAAGTTGTGAATAAATGCGTTCGAAAGTTGAGATACAATCCCGTTGCAAAAAAGACTCGTCTCATAAAAATATCTGATGAATACGACATTATACACTGTCATTTCTCATAATTTAAAACGTTGGCAAATTTGGCATTGTTGTCCATCAGCAGAGATAAAACTTCTGAATGTCACGTAATCGTGAAAGTGCTTTCCCAGCAGACAGCCACCTCACTTCTGTATGAAGAAGCAGGAAACGATGAATGCTTCCCATATCCCATCATAGTATTGTGAAAGGTCATGACTTCAATGACCGCAATAATTAATCATTTGAACAGACTCATCCAAATTTATTAAAAGAGGCTGGTATTTGTTTCCTATCTAAAGCATATCTATGGAGAACACAATGACTGCTACTGCAATCTTTCGATTTAACTTTTATTTAAGTAATCACTCTGTTCGTTTGGCTAGTCATTGTTTTTGAACCATCTTTGCAACTAGAACACCGAATTTCGTTAGCTGAAAACAGTCCAACAAATAAAATATTTCGGCATCTGTTGCAATGGAATACAGTGGTTTGCACAAAAAAAATTCCTCCTCGAAACATCGTGAGAATTCATAAACGGCCAAAAGCCAATAAAATAGATCACCCCGTCAGTTATTCATCGATTTGGAAGGAAATTAATTGATACTAGAAACCAGCGATTCTTTCACTCATATGATAAGTGAAATGTCCGTCTGTCGACAGTATTGTTTGATAATGGCACCGAATATATAAGTTTTACTATTTACTACTATTTTACTATTTAGTTTTACTCGTAAAGCTTGCAATATGCAATATCGTTAACACAACTTTTATGAAGGTTTCAGCGATCTTAAGAGTTTCCTTCTTGTGCCTCTCAATAACTTAAGCAGTTCGATGTTTTCAGTAAGTTTTTTTTAACAGGTTTTGTTTGAGTTTTAACGAGGGTATGAGAAGCAGCCAGTTCAGTACGCTTCCTCATGAAAAAAATCAACCTGTTTCTCCCGGAGTTCAGGTTGTGTGTCTTCAAAATGACGACCCAATTTAACTGAAACCACTGAACCGTTTGAAAGGACTTACGCGCAAATCACACACTTTGCTTTACCCTCGTCAGCCTCGATAAATCCCAAATATAACTAGCTGTCGTGGTAGTTACGCTTTTTAGATATTCCTCTTCCACTGGCTATAGAGCTACGCCTATTCGGAGACGTGTAGAATTTGAGCATGCAGGGTATTGGTGTGATGCTTAATCTGAAGGCTGTTCGTCATTTGGCTTGTTGTCAGTAATGTCTTCATATGATGGTTTTCCTCCCCCCTCATCATTTCCAATTCGGCGCTTTCCAGTCTGTGTAGGTGATGTAGAAAGTGCATGCTTCCTCATCGATCCAGACTTCTGCCAACGATCCATATTTGAGTAAATAACTGATCAATGAGAATGACAGAAGGAGGTAGTGCGCTCGCGAGAGAAGTTTGAGCTTGAATCATATTTTCGAGAAACAACGGCTTTTTATTA